CAAGTTTATTTTTGTTATCAGTCATCTTTAATTATTATATTCGTGGGAGAAAAGAAATGATATAATTAGAAAAGTAAAGATCATACTTTTAGTTGCAACACCGACCCTCCAGTGTTGTATTGTTGCAACACTGTAATACCGTAATTTTACATTAAGGGTGCCAACACTAAGTGCAATGCATGTATTATGTCTCATTATGGACAATAAAACTTATAGGCTTTCAACATATACGTAGTATCTATTTTCAAAAAAAAATATCAAATCAATTAAGGAATTGTGACATATTTAACATTCTCTGTTCTTTCATTGGTGCCAAATAAAACATTTTTTCTTGTTTGAGTAAATGCACAAACCAAACCAATGCTCATTTGTTCGTATCTATGGAAGAAAGTTGACTTAATGGACAAGATAATTTCTTTCTTTCAACACAAAATTTGCCTTGGATCCAAGCCCCGAGGCTGCTGCGTTAACAACTGTGAAAAAAATTACGAATTCCCCTTATTTTTTTGTTTCACATGAGGAAAAGAACATCAATGTTATTATTGAAGAGCCTGAGAACTTTTAGGTGATAAAGATGATCCATTGGCAAGGCTTCGAACGAATCGAATCGAGTCGAGTTCCAAAAAAACTAGATTTGAATCAAACTGGATCCCTAAATTTCTTTTAATGTCATATTAATAGGGTCACTATTATTTGTTTATTCGTCGTTATGGGTTTGAGTATTCAAAATACATTGAATGTTTATTCGAACAAAACGAATAACTCGAATAAGAATTTGTATTATGAATATAGAAACTTTGTGTATTAATATTAATAACGATAACAAATAAAAAGCAATATACTTTACAGTTTCACAATTCGTTGTTTTAAACTTAAATAATAAATATAACAATGATGAATGATGATAATTGTATTGTTGAAAATGATGCCTCTTCAATTACTTCTTCAACAGGCACAGTGCAATGTGTTCAAAGAAGAACAAGAAGTGAAATGTGGAACCATTTTTCACAGTTGTAGATGGAAAAGTTGAACGCAATTTTACACTTATAAATATTTGCTTTTCGAACCTATAAATGATTTGATTTGACTTAGTTTGAATCGAATTTAAATATATGCTATATGACGATTCGTATTCGATTCAATGAAACGAATCAAAGGTCAGGTGATTCGTTCGGAGTCTTATCCATTAGGATGAACAGAATACCCTTTTGAACACTTTCTTCTATTGCAGCATTGTTAATATTCCTTCCTTTACGTTTTATTGCTTTTATAGCTACAAATATTTTTGAAGCAGGAGCAGATGTATTAGAAAAATTTATCAATGATGGATATTTTTCAATTACTTTTTCATCACCAAATCCTAATAATGATGATGTAGACAATTTTTCCTTAACTTCTAATTCGTCTCTCAATGTTGTAAACGTATAATTATAATGCTTTATTTCCTATTTCTTTCAAATTAGGGCCAGCTTCAAAATTATCAAGTGTATACTGCGTTCCTGTATCATTTTATTCTTTTTTTGATAACCAGAGTGCAACGAAACCCATATCAGGATCCATATTTTCAGGGTTTTTAGCCATACTATGTATGAACTGTTTAAATATTGATGATGTACTTTCGTTGTATTCAATCGATATGAATCATCGCGAAGAGCAATTTATAATTAATATTATTTTATATTAATTGTTTATACAAATATTTACTTGTCATTTTCAAATTTCATTTTACTATATTTTTTTACATATAAGAATAAGAAACTAGAAAAATTCCAAGTAATGTTAGAAAATGAAACTTCACCAAGTAGTAAGTAACTTTAGACTGGTAGGTAATTTGGAGTGAATAATGAAATAATAACGAAATAGTACTTTTAGCTATGGAATTAGTATTGTTTTTTGAAGAAATTTATTAAATTATTTTGTTTGAAACTTTACAAGAGTTATATAATCTACATATAGAAAACTTTTGGTGCATTTTTTTATTACTATTTTATTATTATAATTGAGATTTTCGAGTCAATCAGAGGAAAAGGCGAAGAACCAAAAGAGTTTTTCGATTTTCAATATAGGCCAATTCTGAGGAATCTACTAAATATATTCCAGAAAGTATCAATGGGAATTGGATTTTCTTTTTTTGATTAATATTAAAGCACGTTTATTTGATATCGAATTTCAAAAGATACCACAAAGCACTTTTTAAGTTACCGTTATTGATTACATTCACATGATATTAGCGTAACGAATAATGTGATTTATTGTATAACAAGTTTTTTAGCAAAGATAAAGAAAAAAAACCTATTTTTGAAATTTATTTATACGCTCAATATGTATATTTATACAACCATTCATTTGTTAATCATTGACGAACCATTAGAAGATAGTTTTTTGTATCTAAATTTGCTTTTTAGAATGAACTTTTAAACTAAGGGAAGTTCAATAAAACAATTATATCAACAAATTATACATATATTAAACTCATAATCTTCCTTTGCCTATTTGTAATGGCTTTGAAAATTTATTATTCTTTATTTTGACATCAGAAAATACATTAATCAACACCAGATCAATGATCATTGCATAATTATGTTGAATAACAATGTTGATTTACACCTTTAACTTAATTTTATTAATATATAAATAAATGCGCGTTGAATAAATATTCTAAAGCACACATCATAATATGAATTAATTCGATAATATATTTCTTTTTTACAAATTAATTGTGGTGCTTGTATTCGAAAGAACACGGTAATCTATCCTTTATTTAGCAATTGTAATGTGAAAATGTTAAAGATCACACGACTTCGTGGAAGTAGTAGCAAGTAGTATAGTAAGAAAATGAGATAAAATAATAATGTAATAAAATGAAGGACATGAAATATTATTATTATAGAGAAATGATTGCAGCAGTTCCAATACAACTTTTAAAATCATCTATTGCTTTAAATAATTTTTCTATTAATTTTTTAGGTGTTCTTCGTGGTAATGATTTTTTTTGATTTCATAAAATTGTCAATTGAGATAATCACATCATTTCATCTTTATATCTAATACATGTAAATTTTTTTTTATATAATGATGAAATTACTTGTGTGATATTAAATTTTTTGAAAACATTATTTCTTTTTTAATATAATTGCTTTAAGGCCTATACATAATAATACGTCATATTCATTAATTTATTTTTTATTTTAATTGAATCGAATCTAGGCTATAATAATTAATATGATTTGGGGTCTCAGGAACTTTTGTAGTTCAAATATGGTTTTTTTCAATCGTAAAATAAATAAATTAATTACCTTTAAATTTGCATATTGAATTCATTTAGTAGCCGAAAACTTTTTATTTGTTCACATAATTAGTTTTAAAAGAATCTATAAAAAAATGCGATTCATGAACATTATGGCTTTTATTTTTTTCTAAAATACGTAATTTGTTTGAGCAATTTATTTTAAACATACTTGTAAATAAAATAATGAATGGTATTTTCTTAAAAAATAAATATACTTATGAAAGATGTTCCTCAACTGCTGGGAGAAATAAAATAGGCTTTGTGTCTTTTTTAAATTTTCTTTCCATAATAAATTTTACATGGATTAATAAAATTTTCATTTAATTTATATTACCCGGAGATGGGAGTCCATTTGTATTAAAATAAATTCAATAATTTGCAAAACTCCATCAAATGATATTGCTTTATTACCTACTTTCCCTGTTAAAGAATGCGTTCTTGGTTGTTTATCAAAATCATTAAAATGACTTCTGGCATTTTGCCATCTTTTTTTTACCTATACAAACTCAAATTACGTGTGGTACTAGCACATTGCTATCATATTAACTCACATTATTAGTAACTAATGTGCGGCCAGTAATTTTACATATAATTTATATAAATAATAAAATAACAAATTATAAAGCAACTAAATCAAACTAAATTAATTGAAGGACTATTTAATTTTACCGTCAAGTAATCATTTAAAGTTTCTAAATTCCCTCGATTACGAATTCAAGTTTTGATAAGATTTTGTTTGGATTCTTCATTATATTTTTCTTTATTTTCAGAGTTTACTTTGCGGATACCAAATTATCTATTATTGAATACTTTTTCAAAAGCTCTAATGTGAATTGATTGAATAAAAAGATATCTTATATTAAGAAAATTTGAAAAAGTTCACTCATGAAAAAAAAAAAATCGCGAGAAAAAAAATATAAATTTCATACACTAAGCCACAATTTCATGTGTGCAAACGCAAAAAATTGAGGTTGAACGGTACACATTTCTAAACTATATATGCTGTGTTCAAATAAATTATTATGCTCGGAGCGAGCGTTCCGTACATCGATTTTAGACACTGCCCATGAATCAGTGTTAGTCGTCAAAATTGTTTCGAAGAGGCGAAAGTCAAAACTAAAATTAAAAGTTATATGTCAAAACTAAATCAAACATTTTGACTTTCGCACGATTGTGAAACTCTCTAGTTTTGGAAACCAACATTGACAATGCAGTCTGACAAATTCAACCTCTCAAAAAATAAATATTTGCCAATTTTCTCAAAATGATAGAAAGAATATTTTTTAAATAAAGATGGCTCTGCAACCAGGAGGACAGAAGACTTTCAATAACGTGCAAGATAAACTTTCCAATGGACCTCATGATACAAAATTAACATTTTCACCCTCAAGAAATGATACTGATAACTCGTATATTGTATATCAAATGAGGGTGATTTATTTATACTACTTGTTGTTTCTACCATGCTCTTTTTTTTATTGGGTCTATTTAGAATACAGTACCAGCTCTTGCTCAAACACCCACTCCTACTTAAGACACAGAAAGAATCAACGAGGGCGAAAATATGGTTACACTATCGAAAGAAACACCTCTTAGACCATCAAGATTTGATTATTGACAATGGTTTCGAAACTAGAAACATTAGCCATGTATCTTTTGGATACTATTTATATGATATGAATGAGTTTGTATTCATTCTAGTCATTAAACATACTTTGAATCACCGATATTAATGTTTCTTACTCATATTTTTTCCTTTATTGCCAAAGAACATAAGTGATCCAGATGTTCTTATCATCCTTTTGCAATTGATAGTTTATGCCTCGGAGGAATTATTTAACAATTGGATAAATTTATTGGCAACATGAAGTTATTTACATCATTTTTGTATGATGATAATAATAATGGCAACGATGATACATTCACAGTAATAATAATGAAACTTGCAAAAGAATTTTATTTAATTCTAATTCTATTGTAAAATATAAAAGAAAAATCTGATTAAAATACAATTAAATTCATCAAAAAAAAGAAGAAAATTGTTTATCGTCGCAAATTTATAAAAAATATATTTTGCCGGAAAAAAATTGATCGATTAAAAATACTTTATTTTAATTATAACGAAGAAACAAATAATTAATAAATTAATAGCCAATACTATTGTTGCCATTACTATTGTTGTTGTGGCAGCTGTTGCTGTTGCTGTTGTTATGAGGTTAACCACAATAAAAATTAATTGATCGTTAGTCAATTTATCATTTTGTGCATTCACATTCACATTATCACTGAAATTGATGTTGGAAATATTGTTAGGATTTAAGTTTTGATGAATAGTGTTTGTTGTGATTGTAGCAATGTTGATAATTTCATGATGATTCATTTTTATTTGTTTGTTTTTAATATGTGCCGAAAAAAATGGTTTGTTTTTATTACTGATAATGATTGATAAGATAAATAATGGTGTCTATTTATATTATTTTACGCCTGCAGCGCCACCTTTCTTATTTAGAAAATTATATTTAAAGCTTATTAAATGTCACCACTATGATTTGAAGTCCTTTAAAAAAAAAAAAAAAATAGAGAATTAAATTTAAATCTAAATAAGGAAAAAATCACGCCATAGGAGTTACTAACTAACTAACCCATCTATCACTTTTTCCTAGCATAGTGGACATTGCAGATCAAATGTGACGAATGTGACGTTCAATAATTTATTATTATGCAATGTAACAATATATATTTTTTTGAATGGAAATATTTGTTATTGTCTTTACTGTTTGGTTAACCAAGATCATTCAGATCATCGCTGGGTCAAAAGTTAGATATGAACTAAAGTTTGGAGTAAAGTCTACACAATATGCACACAATTTATTTGAATTTAAATATTTTTTTTTATTTCGAAATTTACCAATCTTTAATTAAATCAAAAGCATTTTTAAAGTCTAAAGCTATTATTTGTTCTTCAGTTATATCTTCATCCGCCTCTTCATCTTCATCTCCTGTTATGTGGGATTCTTCAACTTCATTCAACAACTCATTCAAATTTTCTTTTTCTAGTCTTTTTATGTAAGAAGTTACATTGGAAATTATACCTTCTTTATAAAATTCCAAGCAATAGGTACATTGATTTTTTTCATTTCATAATAATTACAATATTTGTGAAATGCATGACCACCAGGGCTGGAAATAGTACTTTAAAAATCCGGATTTTCCTTTTAAAATTTTTAACTTCCGGAAAAAAAAAGAGTTG